GAAGAATTCCTCTGTAAACATCTGAAAGATAATAAGGTGACAGGTAAAGAACAAATCATGTCAAACCAGTCTGATAGCTTTCTTTGATAGGATAACAAGTCTTGTGGATAAGGGAGATGCGGTGGACATGGTATACCTAGATTTAGTAAAGCATTTGATATGGTCTCACATGACCTTCCTATAAATGAACTAGGGAAATACAACCTAGATGGGGCTACTATAAGGTAGGTGCATAACTGATTGGATAACTGTTCTCAAAGACTAGTTAATAATTCACAGTCATGCTGGAAGGGTATAACACATAGGATTCCTCAAAGGTCAATTTTGGGACCGGTTCTGTTCAATATCTTTGTCAACAATTTAGATGATGGCACGGAGAGTACACTTATAAAGCATGCAAATGATACCAAGCAGGGAGGATTTGAAAGTGATTTGGAGGATAGAAGCATAATTCAAAATGATCTGGACAAAATGAAGAAATGGCCTAAGGTAAATGGGATGAAGTTTAATAAAGGACAAATGCCAAGTACTCCATTTAGGAAGGAACAATCAGTTTCACACATACAGAATAGGAAGCGACTGTCTAGGAAAGAGTACTGCAGAAAGGGATCTAGGGGTCATAGCAGACCACAATGTAAATATGAGTCAAGAATGTGACACTTGTAAAAAAAGAAAATATAACTCTGAGATGCAATAACAGGAGTATTGTGAGCAATACATTCTTCCACTCTACTTTGTGCTGATTAGGCCTCAATTGGAGTATGGTGTCCAGTTCTGGGCACCAAATTTCAGGAAAGATGTGGCAAAATTGGAGAGGGTCCAGAGAAGAACAACAAGAATGATTAAAGGTCTAGAGAACATGAGCTATGAGGGAAGACTGAAAGAACTGGGTTTGTTTAGTTTAGAAAAGAGAAGAAAGAGGGGATAGGATAGCAGTTTTCAAGTATCTAAAAGGGTGTAACAAGAAAGAGGGAGAGAATTTTCTCTCCTTGGCCTCTGATGATAGGACAAGAAGCAATGGGCTTACACTACAGCAAGGGAGATTCAGGTTAGACATTAGGAAAAACTTTCTGTCAAGCTGGTTAAACACTGGAATAAATTGCCTAGGGTGAGTGTGAGATATTTAAGAGCAGGTTATACAAAACATGTCAAGGATGAGATGGTGCTTGGTCCTGCCATGAGGGCAGGACACCTGACATAGTGAGCTCTCAAGATCCCTTCCAGTTCTAGTGTTCTATGATTCTAGAGGCTGGTGCTGATCATCTGAAAAGCTCCAGGCTGACCAAGACTTGCTGTTTGGAGGGGCAACATGGCTGCCTTCCCCCAAACTATGTCCATGTTAAAAAGCAAGGGGAGGCATGGTCAGTGTTCCTTCTAATTTTTATGTCCATGACTTCCTGTGTACCAATATGGAGGTGAGGTATATCAGAACAAAAGTCATTCCACCATGGAAAGTGTGGGCAGGGTTGAGGCTGAGGGTTTGGGGTGAGGGCTCAGCTCTATATGGGAGCTCCAGGTTGGAGCAGGTAGGCAGGGTGCAGGTGGGTGTGAAGGCATTGGCTGGGGGTGCGGGCTCTGGAATGGGGTTGATGTGTGTCAGGTGTAGGAGGGGGCTCCAGGCTAGGGGGAAAGGCTGAGGGTTTTTAAATGCGAGAGGGAGCTGCAAGCCAAGGCAAGGAGTGGGCTCTGGGGATGAGGGACTTGGGATGCATGAGGGGGCTCAAGTTTTGGGGAGGGGCTCTAGACTGGGGCTGTGGGCTTTGTGGTGCGGCTCAGGATGAGGAGTTGGGGGGAGAGCAGGAAGTGGCCCCCAGGCTGGAAGAAGCTCAGAGAAGGGAGGAGGTTGTGGATCTTGCTTACATGGCTGGCTGCCCGGTGCCTGCATGTCCTGAGGCAAAGCATTGCACCCCAGCAGGTCTGGCTCAGAGGATGAGGTACGAGTCTCTGAGGCAACTCACCCAGTCTGTGCACTCCTCGAGGTTCCCTTCTTTGTGCCCCCAGTGCACACAGCAGAGCATCTGGACGGGGAAGGAGAAAAGAGAGGATATTTCAAGTTGGCATTGAGAGCAGAGAGAGCTGGGATTTAATTGTAACACTCAGGTGTTTAATATGATAAGATCTGAAACCTTCTGTTTCCTCTCTCACTGAGGTCTCTCTCAGCAGTGGAAGCAACATCCCTGCTGCCTCACATCTGTCCCAATACAGACAAGCTGTAAATGAGAATTAATCTTCCCCTCTGTGTGGCAGCACAGCTTAATGATTAATCAGCCCTGCCCAGTCAGAGGCTCAGGGCTCATTTCATAGAGCTGACTGATTGGGGCTGATTAATCTCTCAGACTACAGGAAACACTGGCTTAGACTCAGATCCTGAAAAGACACAGGCATCAAAGTAACTCAGGCTGCATCTACAGTGGTGTGATTTTGCACAAATACTTTTAACAGAAAAATTTTTCCGTTAGAAGTATTTGCACAAGAGAGCATCTACACTGGCATGTGCTTTAGCACAAAAGATGTGCTTTTAGCCATCGGGTTTTCTTGCGCAAGAAATTAATATTGCCTGTCTACACAGGCCTCTTGCACAAGAATACTTGCACAAGAGGGCTTATCCCTGAGCGGGAGTGTCAGAGTATTTGTGCAAGAAGCACTGATTTTGTATATTACAACATCAGTGTTCTTGTGCAAATACTCATGGCCAGTGTAGACAGGTGGCAAGATTTTGCGCAAAATCTTGCCAATGTAGACACAGCCTCAGTGTCTCTACTACAATGAGCAGCACAATGGGGCCTTGTTCTCTAAAGGCAGCAATAGGAATAAGGACAAAATCATTTTATCCCTGTGGAAACTGAGGCAAGGGGAGGTTGGCTCCATGGGCCAAAGCAAGGAGGGGAGACCATTTGTGACCCCACTGGTCAGGGGCTGATGCAGAGTTTGACTCAGGCTGTTCTGATGCCAGCCAGAGTCACATCCCTGTTACAATAGCCCTGTGTGCCTGAGCCAGGGGCCCAACTTTACACTGCCCACATCCTTCTGTCCCTCCCGCATCCCTGCCCCATACCCAGCCCTCTCAGGGACACACCTTAGGCCTGTCGCTACTGTGCTGGAGGGATCCCTCACTGAGTGGGAGGGGCTTTCTCCTTCCCTGCAGCCCATTAGCCCAAATTGGCTGCCAGAGAGGCCTGGAGCTCAGGGAGGGGCTGGGCCCAACTCTAACAAGTGGCCTTTAATTGAGAGGCTAGATTTGGGGTGTTGCCCTTTAGGCCCCAGGGCCTGGTTCTCAGAAGGGCTGAGCCCTGGCAGCTCTCACTGACTCCACCTGTGGCTGTGGAGGTTGCCCAGACCTGGGGTACCAGCCCTGCAGCTCTCTGGTTAGGAGAGAAATGCAAGTGCCCAAATGAAGGGATTTTGCTGAATTTGGGCCTGAATGTTGTGACTTTTAGTAAGTCAGGAATTGTGAGGCACCCTGATGCCTGGGCCCTGCTACATCTGCTCCACATCTCTGTTTTCCATTAGTTATTATGTTAGGGTACGTCTACGAACTGGAGGACTTTACTCCAACTTCTGTAACTCTCATTTCACGAGGAATAAGGGAAGTCGAAGGAAGAGGGTCCTTCCTTTGACTTCCTGCTGTGTACACAGTGGCAAAGGCCGAATTAAGCTCTTTCAACTTCAGCTATGCAATTGACGTAGCTAAAGTTGCGTAGCTTAATTTGACTTTTGCTCTGCAGTATAGACATGCCCTTTAGGATTGAGAATTGGTATAAGCATCATTTTTTTGGGAAACCAAGAGTCTGCATTTTTATGTGTTTACAGAAAACAGACATTAAGTGCTCTGCCTGGGAGCAGTTAGCAAAGTCCAGAGACACCCCTGCAGAGAAGTGACCTGTGCACCTCAGACTATGCTGCGTGGAAACAAATGAATCAGAAATGAGAATAACTTGAAAATCGCCTGGACAGCAGAACCCCTGGCAATTAAAAAGTTCACGCGTGTGCAGTGTGTGAGTTATACAAGATACGTATTGTTCATACCACTCAATGGTGATTGGAAGAGAACTAAGCAGTATATAATCTGGCTGCGCATAACGCATCAGACACTGAAAGGAGCAGTCAAAACATCATAGGAGAAATGCATCATGACCTGTCTCAATCAAGATATGGGCTGGCTAGGACACTACCTACTTCATAACCACTGAAGGCGCTAACAGCTGTGGTATCCTTCCCGCCTTAGCATCTATCTATTTACTTTGATCTGCTTAGGTTTAAGTACCCATTCTCCAGATACTTAATGATGCCCTGGCTCTCACCCCCCTTCCTTTTTCCTTTTTCTCTCCCCTCTCCTTCCCCTCTCCTATTTATTTTGAGTTTTCATATCCCCTACTCATAACTCCGGTCATCTGAAGAAGTGGGCTGTGCCCACGAAAGTTCATGATACCATGTACATGGTTTGTTAGTCTATAAAGTGCTACCAGACCATTTGTTGTTTTTTTCTGTATAGGTATGTCTACACTAGCCCCCTAGTTCGATTTAGGGAGGCTAATGAGGCTGACCGAAATTGCTAATGAAGCACAGGATTTAAATATCCCACGCTTCATTAACATGTTCTTGAGCGGTCGCCATTTGACTAGCCCTAAATAACTGCCCGCGTCTACACGCAGCAGTGAAACGGGATTCCAAATTAAAGCCCTAAATCAAATTAGCTGTTATTCCTCCTGGAATGAGGTTTACCAGCTAATTCGATTTAGGGCTTTTAATTTGGAATCCCGTTTCACTGCCATGTGTAGACGCGGGCAGTTACTTCAGGCTAGTCAATTTCTAAAATGGCGACCATGCTAATGAAGTGTGGATACTTAAATCCCGCACTTCATTAGCAATTTCGGTCACCCTCATTAGCCTCCCTAGATTGAACTAGGGAGCTAGTGTAGACATACCCTAACAGACTAACTCGGCTATCCCCTGAAGCTCCTGTCTATGCTCCAGGAGCAGTATTTCTTTCTGTGTGTCTGTAATTTCTTACTAATGGTCACTGTCATGACAAAGCCGGCTTTTAGCACAAATAAGGGGTTCCATTATTCTACCTGAGTATCTTTGACTGAAAGTGTGCACCATTCTCACCACACAGTTAAATAGAAGCTTCATCTAACTATGAACCAAATGACCAGCATCATTCTCTTTCCATGCTCTCATGCTTCACTCACTTTCCCCTCTTCCATCCCTTCTAAGTACCTTTGAACTCCCTCAGAGTCTCCGACAGCACAATTGTTTTCTGGGAGAAACCACTGACTCGCTCTTCCAGTTCAGGAGAAATCTCCTCTGGCTGCTGGAACTGCTGCTTCCCACACCTGGACAGAAACAATGTCACATGATGACACTGCATTAAGTGATTCCATTCTTAAGTTCCTGCTGGTGAGTCGCTGCTCTGATGGGCCTGGAGTTAGAATCCTTCCAATTCTCCCAGACTGAGCAGGAGCAGCACAGCCCATGGCCGTGCAACATTCCCCTCAAAGGACCCATCAATATACCTGAAAACTGTCCTGCAGAGACCAGCTATGGGGATGAAAGGGGAATTGAGTCTCCATGGCCAACTTACTCCTTGGCCTCCAGGCACTGAGGGACAGGAGATTTCCAGGTGAAGTGCTATAGAAATCTGCCCACTAGGAACTAGGCAGAGGGTATGTCTACACAGAAGCGCTATTTTGGAATAAGTGACATTATTTCAAAATAACACAGTGCACGTCTATACAGCAAACCATTATTTCAAAATACTGTCAAGCTGGAGGACTTCTAGCTCTGACTCCTGTAACCCTCATTTCATGAGGAGTAAGGGTCATTGAAGGAAGAGTGTCCTTCCTTCCCCTTCCTGCTGCGTAGACTGAAAGTGTGCACCATTAAGCTACTTCAACTTCAGCTACGCAATTGACGTAGCTGAAGTTATGTAGCTTAATTCAACTTTTGCCCTGCAGTGTAGATGTGCCCTGAGACACCAACTCCCCCTTCCCCAGCTCATGCCCCACAGGTCTCCGAACAGCCCTCGGGGGGCAAGACCCTTGACCCCAGCTGCCTTGGGCTGAATGGTGCCCAGTGCCCAGCAGTGACAGGCCCATATTCCATCTCAGTCCTGAGGCAGCCAGTCCTCAGGGAGGTGACAGCTCTAGGAATTCCAGAGTTTTCTGTGCAAGGGTGAGACGCTCAGGCTGAAGTTCATCAGAGAGATTTGTGCCCAGTCTGTGACCTTCCCCTCACATCTGGCTGTAGAGCCTTGGGTGGATGCGGTGCTAACATCAGCTCCAAGCTCTTTCCCAGCACTGTGCAGTGAAAGGAGAGTGAGAGCCACCTACCTGCTCAAGGTGCTTCTGACATCCTAGAGGGGAGACAGAAAAGAATCTCAGCCCCATCAGACACACACGCAGGACCCCAGGGAAGGGATTTTGCAAACATGGGGAAGAGAGGCCCTGCCCTGGGCCCAGGGCTGTGGATTCCCTGAGCAAATGGGGCTTTGCCATCTCTGATAGCTCTGTACCTGTAACTCTGCAGAGCACAACAGTCACTCACATGTCAGATCTAACGGCTGGACCCCAGCGCTTGTGATTCAGGAGCCTCCCTTCCCTGTGTGTGGAGCTGGGATGTTTTTCCCTCAGTCTCACCTGCAGGAATTCACTCGCTGGCTTCTGGCACTTCCCCTCCAGCTCACTGATCCGCTCACTGAGACAAGAAATCAGCACGGAGAGTTTCCTGACAATGTCAGTCTGGAGCCTTCCAATCTCCTTGTCCAGCTTCTCCAGCTGGGCCAGCAGAAGTCGCTCTTGTTCCTCCAGGAACTGCCGCAGCTGCTGAAACTGAGCCACAATCTTCTGCCTCTCGGCTTGTGTCTGTTTCTGTACGAAAACAGGGAAAGGGCTGGTCAGGGGCATGGATGAAGCGTGGGGAGCTGAGTGCGCAGCAGGGAGAACTTCTTGGAAAATCCTAAAATTTCTGACATTTGACTCTCCCTTGTGGGCAGTAGGCAGAGGCATCTCTCCCAGCTTCCCCTTTGGCCTGTGCTCCTCTGAAAGGGATGTTTTCATGTCTGTCACGAGCAGCATGTTCTTTTATTCATGGACTCTGGAAATTCAGACCCAGAACAGCAGGAGGCAGCATTCCCATTGCTAGTCCCTGCGGATTCATAACCACAGGCACCTACCAGATACTTTTGGCATTTCCCCTCGCCTGTTGCTTTCCATCCCAGCAGCTTTTCTCTCTCTTCCCTCAGAGTCTTCAAATGGGCTTGAATTTTTTTCTAAAGAAACAGAAATGAACTGGGTGGTTTCATTGTGACAGTGAGAGGGGTGTGAAACTGGGGTTTTTTTCCCCACTAAAACCCATGATAACTGTTCTTCCCAATCTTTTTGTGATATCAGGGTCCCCAAGAAGATGAAATTTTATTAATACAGACTGGGAATGTGTCATAGAGTAACTTGTTACACATTCAAGCTCAGGTATTTTAGTAATTAAAAACTAAATTGCAATTATCACCATGCTTTATTGGTATATATGGATTGTTTAGTGGTACAGTGTATAACAGGGCATTGGAGACCCATGGGATAAGCAATACACTCATGTTTGAGAGGGTTTAATTTGCAGTGATTGGACAGAGCTCGTCTAAGCACCAGGGCAAACCACATGAAATTCAGGGAGGCAATGTGTCTGGAGCTGCACAGCTCCAGTTTGTGGAGTTCTGTCCCTTTTCAGAAGCAACTCAGCACTGGACACGGTTTCATCTAGTGAAAAAGAGACAGGAGGAGATTGAGGATGCAGGAGGACACCTGTGAGGGTGAGGGGCCAGGAGTGGGGGTGGCTATTCCCTGCAGATTGACATAGGTGGGGTGCACTGACAAAGGCTGACCAACTGGGGTGCAGCTGGGCCCAGGCAGGCAGACATGGGGATGTTCTGTATTCGAGGAATGCCTCAGTGACCCTCCCCCCAAATTAAACATCCTGATTCCGTTAAGTATGGTGGGGGCTTGCCCCAGTGCTGCTCTAAATGCTTGCAGCAGCAATGCCCACTGTCCCAGGCCCTGGTGCAGCTCTCAGCAGAAGTGCATTCTGGGAGATTCCCAAAGCCTGCCTGGTGGGACTAACTGAACCATGTTGGCTTGTCTGTGTGCCCACGTACCCACTAGCACTGGTCAGACCTGTACCAGGAAGCTCCAGCCTGGGGTTAGTTTTGCTCCAATCCAGTCTGATCCCTGTGGCACCCCCAGAGCCCCTGTTGTGAGTGGACTCAAAGAGCTCGGGGTCCCACACAGTGTCCAGCCTAGTGACCTTGTCTAGTGCAGGCCGCTGCATCTGAGTTTAACCCCTCACGGAGCAGCCCAGGAGTTCAGCATCCCAGTGAGAATCCTCCCCTCCCTGCTGGGCCTAGAGCTCTCAACATGTCTTTCCCTCCTAAGAGCCTTGATACATCATGTTTGACTGATGCCCCAAGGTAGCATCATGGCCTATTGGTTAGGGACCTGAAATGGGTCCAGGAAGACCTCAGCTCTAATCTGATCCTGGGCAACTTCCTTCACTGCTTTATGCCTCAGTTTCCCTTCCCACCTTTTGTCTAGTTAGAGTATCAATTGCTCAGAGCAGGAATTGTCCTTCACTGTGTTTTGTGTAGGGTTCACACCTCATTTGGGGTCTATAAGGGCTACTGTGATGGAAATAAAAAGTAATAAATTCTGTTTATTAAAAACTAGAGATTGTACCTTCCCCATCTGCAGTCACACAGACCAGCCTGCAATTCTTGGCTACGTCTACACTGGCCCCTTTTCCGGAAGGGGCATGTTAATTTCAGCTATCGTAATAGGGAAATCCGCGGGGGATTTAAATATCCCCCGCGGCATTTAAATAAAAATGTCCGCCGCTTTTTTCCGGCTTTTAGAAAAGCCGGAAAAGAGCGTCTACACTGGCC